GCTCACTGGGTCACTCCTCCGAAGCTTCTCTCCACGATGAAGGCGGTGATCTTATCCTTCATCTCCCCGGTTTTGGGATCTTTCATGGGCGTCTTGGCGAACACTGTGAAGATCTCAGCCAAACCTCCATTACTGATAAGAAAAAAAAGAGGAGAGATTTGAGTGAGGACAGCAGATAGCACGGAGCCTAAACGCTGTTAGAGGGCACTGGTGTGGTGCTGCCCTCTGGTGGCCAAACAGCAGAAAGCGGCCTCCTCACCTGATCCAGATTTTGCCTCCGTTCAGAGTGAAGAACTGACCGCAGGGGGACAGGACGGCGTTCGTCTTGATGGAGGCGGCGTCGGAGCCACTGGCTGGTTCAGTTAGGCAAAAGGCGGCAATGTTTTCCCCTGGACGGCAAAAACACAGGGTTAAAGAATCGCACAAGCCAGAAATCCCCACAAAGATTTGCACATCAGTATCCTGAGTGAGGCCCTGATGCCGGCTGTCCTACCTGTGGCCAGCTTGGGCAGGTACTTCTCCTTCTGGGCTTTGTTTCCAAACAGCAGGATGCCCTTAAAGCCGATGGACTGGTGAGCGCCCAGCGTGATGCCGACGCCCAAATCATGGCTGCCTACGATTTCAACCAGCCGCGCGTACTGCCATGAGACAGAATCCCGTTAGATCCACGTGTGTGTAAATAATCTGTTACGATGTGGATTTGAATCTAACCAAGAGCTGCACCTGTGTGTTTGAGAGGCCGAGCCCGCCCAGGTCTGCCGGCACCTGCAGCCCGAAGGCGCCCATCTCTTTGAGGCCCTCCATGGTGTGGTCTTCCACCTTCTCCAAGGCATCGTTCTTGGCCGGGTCGTTCACCTCCTGTTCGTGCGAAGAAATATGAGCAGCTTTTACAACAAAGGCAGTGAGTGTGAGGCAAAAAACGATTTTTAAAAAAGGGTGTTGAAAGCTAACCTCAAAAAATTTGCTAACTGGCCCCACGAGCTCCTGAAGGAACTGCTCCTGCTCATCATTAAGGGCTGTGGGACAACACAAGCAATTAAACTGCAGCCTTTACTGAGATTCACTCAATTCACAAATGACACATCAGCAATTATTCAGAGGAGATGAGTTTCTTATGGATTACCTTTGGGGTAGGGGAACACTTGGGTTGTGGTGATCTGCCCTTTGAACATGTTGACAGCAAACGATTTGGATTCCTGTGAGAAAGTCAGACAAACAAATGATAATAAAGTGTTGAGTTACAGACACAAATTTAGAGGAAATTAAAATGTCAAAAAGCACCAGAGGTGACCTTAATTTTTTTGAGGGCTTAATCTGATCTGCGTAATTAATTTTCATTTACAAGAATAATTTCAAATGAAGTTTAACAGGCATTCAAAACAACACAGCCTCTTTAATATGGGTGTTTGGGGCTTGATGCTCTATAATAATTTCAAAGAACAAATTGAAGCTGCGACATGTTTTCTGATATTTATGCTGCACACGGAGTGGAGAGCATAACGACGCCATCTCACATAATCCGAGGTCATTTCTTTCTGCTCTATGATGTAAGTGTTACCTGGCCAACACATGAAACGGGCCAGTGTCAAATATTAACATGAGTAACAGAGAAATGGAGACAGTAACATACGGCAACGGCAGTCTTTTTCTCCACTTTTGGGGCAGTTTCGCTGCCAACTGCAGCGGGCTTCTCCAACACCGCCTGAAGATAAACAAAACAGAGCGAAAACACTGAGGACAAGTTTACAGTTTAACCAGCTGACTGAAACACTTTTGGTGCACAAAGAACACAGAGGAAACATTGTGAATATTAAAGAACTAAATATGTAAAACTGAATCAATGTCAGGTTAGCTATGGGTGAAAGCCAGTGAATCAAACTAAACTGGATTCAAGTTAATTCAACCATACTGGGATCACAATGACCTGGATTAAACTGTAAAATGTAAGATGACATTTGTGTGTAAATAAAATAGGTCAGATTAAATGATGGGTGTATGGAGCTGAACATTTAATCTTTGGGTAATCTTTATTTAAATTAAAGAAAGATAATCATCATTTTATTTGTAAAATGGCAAAAATATGAAGTAAGCCTTTATCACAGAGATTTTACTGCACTAAACTGCAAAAATAAATGAATACATTTAAAATGTGTAATAAACCTGCAATAAATGTGTGTCACTTAAAAGTGATTACTTATACTTCTAAATGAACATATTTTGTCTAGACATCTCCAGATTCCAATAGAGAAATATGATATTTGACAGAATTTGCTAAAGAAAAACAATCATCTTTGCACTGCTACAGCCAATTGGGAGACTAAAAATAGTCCTAAAGTGACAGCCTGATGTAAGCCTGTTACTGTCCCCGTCCTTGTATCAGACCCACTAAAGTGTAGTTACACAAATAGACGGTGCTGGGACACAAGGTGTATGGCATTTTCCATAAGACTGCTTTGTGGTGAACTTTCCCCTGGACAACTGTAATGTCACCTCCAATAACTGAGTCATGTGATCAGTGAACTTCGCCCCACTTCCAGGGGAAGAGGGTATGTGTGTTATGTCATCCAGCTCTGACACTCTGCCCAACATGGACGCCAACAAGACCATAACATTAAAAGAAACTAGACAGTAAACCATGTTGTAATTCAATATGTCCTTACCTGAGCAGCTTGGCTTGCGTATAGACGAGCATTTGACACGGCAACAACAACCCCAGCCTGTCGCTGACCTCTGTGGACAAAGATATCACGTCCAATATGAAAACGTTTCGCTATCCGCGATAAGTTAGCAGTTCATTCATATCTATGAAGAAACAGGCTCAGGACTGTCGTTACTCACCCGGATAAAACGGGAGGAATCCGGAGAATGGTGCCGCACAGGGCGGACGACTGGCTCACCTTACGAAGCAGCATGGTTTTTACTTTAATCTAAAACAAAAAAGACACCGTGTTATAAAATTAAACACCAGTTACTGAAGTAAAAGGCAACAGACTAGGCAACGAAAAAGGCGGACGGCTAGCAGACACGTAACGACGTCCGTTTGTTTCGTAACTTGTTCGCCTCGGTGTTTAAGTCTTCAAATTAAAGATTATAAAACAGCAAAAAAGCTTCAGTTTTGACACCGAACGACGTACAATCGATTTAAGAAACTAAACTGTACAAGTAACTGTTAATATACCCACTGGCTCTGGTTTATTTCCACGAAAAAGGACTGCCCAAAGCCTGTTTATTCTGCTGCTGCCGACTGCCGATGTTGGCTATTAAGTCACCTTCTTCTTCTGTGGTGTTTTGCAGTGCTGTTTTACTCCCCAGTTGGACATCAGTGGCGCCCCCTGCTGGACAGTTAGGAAAACTGCCTATGATGATAGAAGACGACCAAAATGTAACAATCACAAGTTAAAGGCACATTTTACAATAAATCTTATCGTTCAAGAAGAGCATTTTGGGATTTAGAATAAAGCTTAAAATTCCAAATATATAAGATATTAATTGGGGTGTAACATTTTTAATGGAAATAAAGATATTCGGATTATGAGCAATGAAAACTAAAGACAGTTGGTTGGAGCCTTAAGCAGAAGAAAACTGAACTTTCCTCTAAATAAAGTGATCCTTTAAAAACATTTTAATTGGAGTTTATAGTACACCAAAATAGGGAATAAGAAGGAACTTACTTAAAACTTTCTATTTTTCTTAACTCTCTTTTCCATATAAATTTATATTTTGTTAACTTTTGCCTGAGCAGTCATAAATGTATTTGACTGCCGGTTGTTCCATGCATGTCTTACATAAGTTCATTTGATTTAAGTCCTGTAGGTCTCCGGAGACTGATCAGATGGAGGCGTTTGCAGAGTTTCTGGTCAGCTCTTTGCTGACTACCACAAAACAGTTCATTCCAATCTGAACCACTTCAAATCCACAAACCAACTCTTCATAAAGTCTTTTCAAATAATCGAAGCTGCAAAGATAATAAGTATCAAATTTATTCTCAAATACACAAGCAAAAAAGGTGGCAGTATGATTCAAACAGTGAGATACAGATGTGGTCGTCGACTCTTTATTCAGCACCTTAATAGTTGGGTTAAACACGATTTATATAGGCACTCATACAAAAATGAAACTGGTGAATAATGCAAGTCAGTAACATAAAAATAAGCATTGGGAACTGAGGCGTTTGGATCACAGTTAGGATTTAGTCTGCGTGTAGTCAAAAAGTACCGCTCTCTCTCATCAACAAGTACCACCGAGCTGTACGTCACATTCAGAAAACCCCGGTACCCCTCACAAGACACGCTGGATGACGAGCCACTGATTATTAAACACCAGTTCCCCTGACATTTTTGGACCTATTTTCTTTTCACATTAGAGCTTGCTCTTTACAAAGGAGTGGTAGGTATTTACAGAAAAGTCCATTGTCAAACAATGTGGAACAGAATTCATTATTTTATGTACCTGGAGTGTTAAAATGTCTAGAAAACGAAAAGGAAAAAAGGCACTCAATATACTCCTGTGTGGGTAAAGAATCTGGCACTATAATCCAGACTGTGCATGCAGGATTGGATCCTTTTCAAGTACACGCTGCCTCTGGCGCCCTCTCGTGTTACCGTGTGAGTGTGTGTGTGTCGGGGGGGGGGGGGGGTCCTGGGTGGACCGGTCTGAGATCAGCGTCTGATTTGTTAAAAACGAGGACTGTGACGGCAGAGTGCCGGGCAGCTCTGACAGGAACCTAAAACTTTGAACGGAGGCTTTCTGACTGAGAACAAAGGGGGCAGAGGGAAAACGCCCACCCGGTTTGGGTTTGGGACTCAGACTGCTCTGCGGTGGAGGATTGCTGCTGTGTCGCTATTATGCCATTTTGAACCCTGTTTGACCAAATTTCCGACGAGCCTCCGGAGGGCTCCTGTGACCCAGCGGTCCTCGCCAGAGCGGGGGGGTGGGGGGCGGCGGCCGAACGAACGCCGGCCAGACTACATCACGTCCACAAAGAACTCGCTGGGGTTGCCCATGGCCAGGTGGAAGGACTGCCGCGAGGCGGTCAGCTCGGGGGGCACCGAGCCCAGGTCGCGGGTGGGCGGCGCCCCCGGCGGCCCCCCCGGGGTGGAGGAGGGGGGCGGGGGGAGCGCCGGGTGCATGGGCGCCGTGGGCAGCTGCTGCGTGTGTGGGAGGGCGTGGGCGGCGGCCATGGCCGGGTGCGGGTGCTGGGGCACCATCATCACCATCATGGGGTTGTAGGGCAGGATGCCGGGGGGGTAGGGGGACATGTGGGGGGGCTGCGGCAGGCGGTGGTGGTGCGAGCGCTGCGAGGAGGCGTGGCTGTGCTCGCTGGGCGCCGCCGAGCCGTGGCCGCGCCGCAGGCTGCTGCGGGTGGAGTACTCCGATTCGCTCCCGCTGCCCGAGCGGGAGTCGGCCCCCCCGCCGCCGCCGCCGCCGCCGTCCCCGCCCGCGGCCGAGGGGGACTTCTCCCCCCCGCCCACGGTGCTGCCGGGCCCTTTGCTGCTGCGGTGCCGCTCGCCCTCGCTCCTCGTCGAGCCGCTGCTCCGGCTCCCTGGGGGGGGCAAAACCACCGAAGAAGAATTAAAGGAGGCGATTCACGCTCCCAACACAAATCTCCGTTTCTGTCTGAAGGGGGAATTTTTAACTAATTTTATATAATATTAGCTCAAAAACCAACTCAAAAACATACATACACACACATATACACACACACACACACACACACACACACACGCACGCTGCCGCTTTCTTGGCCAAGAAACAAAATTTCAATTTTTTGTATGACCAACGCATGTAAAGAAATTGACAATAAAAGCCTACTGCTACTGCTACGTGTGCCTGCAGGTTTCATCTAAACCTCTCTCTGAGGTTGGAGCTCCCTGATGGCGGGGCCCCCCCCCGGGAGCCCGGCGAGGCCGTAGATGGAGGACACGGTTCACCCACCTTCGCTGTGCTGGCTGCCGGTGCTGCCGGGGGTGTAGCTGTAGCTGGTGAGCTCGTGGTAGGGCGGCGGCTGGCTGGAGTAGGGGTGCGTGGGGTAGGGCTGGTACGGGAAGGTGTGCATCATGGGCCAGGGGGAGGTGCCCGGGATGGGAAGGGGGGCCAGGGTGTCCTGGTCCGAGGCTCCACTGGAGCCATCGTTGTCGTTCAGGGACAGATTGGCCATGTCTGGAAAAGACGGGAGGCACGGGACACATTTAAAACCCCTGGAGAACTCTGCACGCAGCCAACAGCAAATCCCTGCTTTTCATGTGAAGACATGATCCTTTTAATCCTTGCTTTCCTACTTTTCGTCATTTCTGGAGACCCTAAATTTAGAGTTGGAATGCTTCCCCAATAACAACATTTACAACTCCACAAGCCCGCTGTGTGTCCGCGCCGCGGCCAGCTGCGTGCAGAATGAGATTAAGCGTGGCAGTCAGCAGATTTCCGCCGCTTTCCAGAAACTCACAGTTCTCACAGTCGCTCAAGTCTCCAAACACGTAGTAGCATTGTTCGGAGAAGGTGATCTTGTTGACCGTGTGTCGAATGAAGCCGGCCTTCAGAAGGTTGCTGGCGTACTTCCTGGCTTCCCGGCGGTCCTGGAATCCCTCGATGTGGTGGAACAGCCACTCCACCACGTCGGAGCCTGGTGGCCACAGACAGAAAGCACAGGTCTGTTATTCAATGAACGAAGACACAAAAAGGGGAGATGTGATAAAAACGGGTGAGTATGCGCAGCATCCTCAAGTTTACATATCAGAAATATTTCTATTCATTTAAAAAAGATGGCACGTTTACAGCATTGAACCATAACAGAAACCAAATGTACTGTAGAGGGAAAAATTTGAGGCAATCTGGACTATGCGTCAGATGTTTTCATTTGATAAATAAATATCCTCAAAGTTTGGGAGGTAAATTACCACCAAACCTAAGGCGATGCCTGACAAAACAAGTTCCAAAAAGAAAGAAACGCCACGCAAGAAACTTAATAAAAACTCGAGTCATAATTTCAAAAAGCACAAAAATAGACAACTGCGTAGTTTATGTGATTATTGCTTGTGATTCAGTTGCAGGTGATTCCAATTTAACACATGTTTTCATTCAAAACAAGCATTCACATTTGTACGTTTGGGTTCTTTCCTCCCACAAGTCACACGGTTTTAATTCTGTCAGCATAATGGCTGCCCTGTGCGGCTCTGAGGCACAGAGAGTTCAGGGAACCAGTGCAGCCTCTGCTCCACGACTCGTTCTTGGCCTTGTTTTCATCTTACCGAGGAAGGCGTTGGGGATGGTGATTTTCAGCCACATGCGGTCTCTGACCTCCAGCCCAGACTCCGGTGAGGCCATAGCTTTGGCTACCGACGCCATGTCAGAGTGCAGAGACAAGTTAAAGTCATCGAAACCTGGAGGAACACATGAGCTCGTTAAGAAGGAGGAAGAATGAAATCCCAACTGGGAGGAAAGCATCAGTTATGACTCAGAACACAGCAAAAGCAGAGCGTGGCTCATGTCTGGAGACAAAGATGGAGGGAGTGAAAAAGGACCATCATTCAAACCCTGAACACCATCCATTTACAGAGTAAACATGGAGCATGTGCTTTCGTGGAGGCCGTTAAAGGCTGAAGAGAGAAAAAATGAAAACACATTGTGCTTCTGGAAATGGAGAAAGACTCACGTTCGGTTTCGGTGACAGAGGAGGAGGAGGTGATGGTGCTGAGCGAGGAGCTGCCTGGGTAGGGCGGGTAGGCCCCGGTCATGGCCACGGAGTGACTGACCCACGCCGCCGGGTCGATGGGCCTGATAGGTTCGTCTGCGGACAGAAAAGCGGCGCCGGTTACCGACAATGGCTCTGAGCGCAGAGAGGAGGCGGCGTGGAGCTGGGGGCGCGCTTACTGCGAGGCAGGGTGAAGTAGCCCTGCGGAGAGGGGTCCCAGCATTTGGCCACCGTCAGGATGATGGGCCTGAGAAACACAGCACAACGCCACCACCACGTGTTAACGCGCTGTCCACGAAAGCACACAAACAGGAGGAACAGCGACTCACCCTGGCTTGTGTACGATCTCTCTGAGAACTCGCACCGCGTCGTCATTACTCATGTTCTCGAAGTTGATGTCGTTCACCTTAACGGGCGAGAACACACAGGCTTTTACTGACAGCTGGGCTCAAAAGTCAGCCAGAACAGCCCTTTAGGTATCTTTATCGAATTAATTCAGACAGGAAATGCCAAGCTACACCACAACAAAAGCTGCCGAGGTGATTGGTGGACATGAACAGCAGTCCAGAGCCAATCACAGAGGCCCGGGGGCTAAGCTAACGCCTCCTGCTCTAACCTGCAGCAGCATGTCCCCGGGTTCGATGCGCCCGTCTGCGGCCACGGCCCCCCCCTTCATGATGGAGCCGATGTAGATCCCCCCGTCGCCTCGCTCGTTGCTCTGACCAACGATGCTGATGCCCAGGAAGTTGTACTTCTCTGTGTGGAGGAATCAAAACGCGGTCAAAACCAGACGGGGAACGGAGCGGTACGAGGAAACCTGGTGACCTCCAGGGGCCGCGAGACACAGACCCATGTTCAGAGTGACGGTGATGATGTTCAGGGACATGGTGGAATCAGTCACGCTGCTGAAAGACGACGCCTGCAGAAGAAAACGAGGAAACATGTTGGGAAAAAGATCCATCGAAAAACACAGATCAGTGGTTAGGTGAGTTTCAGAGGTGGTGGTCGTACCCTCTCCAGACGCGGGGGGCGCTGTTTCCTCCGCCGGCGGTGGCGTTTCAGGAGCCTGGAGGCTGTGCTCTGCTCTGTGGCGCTGCTGAACCTAAAAGTTCACCAAAGGGTCAAAGGTCACGTTTAGCTATCTGTAGACTTTCAGGAGCAGAACTTAAGAGTAACGCGAGAAAAATTAAAAACATATAGAAAATAAAATAAGAATGGAAACATTTCAGCTTTCGGAGTGTGTACAATAAGTGTAAAAGACTCCAGGAGTACAGGGAGGCACAGGGAGGTCTTCCAGGTGCGTACCTAAAATGCAACATGGCCTCCTTTGTATTAGGCGATTTTTTTGCAATGTGGTGGTGATCCACAGCAAATCCCTCTGATGTTCTGCTCTAATGTGACAACAGCATGATTTCAACAGTACTTTTGTAGAAAGAATGTGTGTGTGTGCACAGCTTACAGCTGCAGTGAGTCTGCAGCTGTTAGGGAGCGGAGAGCTAAAGAAAACCTACACCAGAGGTTCTTCACTGGATTCAGACTCAAAGCCGCACGACTTGTTAGCAGAAACGGAAAATCTTTTAAGCCATTTTCCATGTAAAATCCAGCCTGATTTTACATTATGTATATATACAAACACACACAGTGGTCCATGTGCAGCCCTACAGTTACTGTGAGGAGCACACTGGGGTGACATCAGAACAGATTTCTTTTAGAAAAGCGTTCTGAGCGGGCGGCCCATATACAGAGCCTTTGCTCGCAAGCGGGCGGCCTGGGTTCGAATCCAGCCCGTGGCCCTTTCCCAGAAAAGCGTTCTGACGGCCGCTCAATGTGTAAATAAACCCCATTGTTCTTGTGGGGAACCCCCCCCCCACACTCACCTGCTCATGGTGTCGTCGTCCTCTGAGTCGCAGAAACTGGTGGTGTCCAACTCGCTGCTCATCACTGTGCTGGAGCTTTCGTAACCTGCCAGGTGGCGCTCCAGGCGACTCTGCCCGTTTATTCGTGGCCCTTGGGTAAAAAACAAAACAAAAAACAGAAAATGTAAAGATTAAAATAAAGAAAATAAAGTGGGGAGGGGGCATTCAACAAGACATTTCATGTTTGCTGAATGCAGCGTTGGCCTCCTCCATTAGATAACAAGCATACCACACTTCAACATTCCTTGATTGTATCATTCAGCATCGGGGCGACGCAGGCCTGCCAAGTCTTGATAGGCCACAACACTAAAGGGCTGTTTCCGTCAGCACCCGGATGTGCCGCTCCTCACCATGTTGGTCCATGCTGTCTCTGTGCCGGGGCCTCTCCCGTCTGAAGGACACTACAGACTCGGTTTCGGTCTGGTCGTCCAAAGTCTCCACGCTGCCCGTCGCATTGGGGCTGTGGAAGCAGCAGCAGAGCACATTTGAATGGGGTGACCAGCCTTCACACAACACAATCACACACTCACAGCCGGTCAGTTTTGAACACAGAACACTGACTGGTCAGTTTTTGTTTCGGGCGACGATCTTTTTACGCCTCACTTCAACAACTGACTCCAGAAAGTGTAGGAAACCGTAAACGCCAGGTCTCCCGGGAGGATCTGATTACAGAGGAAATATTGGCAGCCCCAGTGCAAACAGTTTCACTTGATGACTGGGAAGCCTCGGATTGTGCCAACAAAGGAAAACGACGTGCAAAATGTTTGAGCTGCTGATGTTTGAGCTGCTGACAAACGGTCCGGATTTCGGTTTGGGTGGAGATGCTGGCTGGTGTCGTTGATTCCTCACAAAAATATGACCGAAACCAGACTTCTCGCATGTAAGAGGAGCCACATAAGACTGAATTTGACACTCAGTGTTGTTGGCTGTCGCTACCTCCCAGCAACACGCTCAGCTTTCAGGACGCATCGTTTATCTTAAATAGGGCGGTTACAACTCAACATGACAGCCCCTCACATTTCTGATTTAAAAAAATACCCAAAACCACAGATTAGCAGGTTAAGAAGTTCCTCTTCAATAATATATTTTTTTACCTGAAAATTATGTCTGAAACAAGGCCCTAAATGAGTTGAAGAAATAGCCAAAACAGAAAGGATGTTTAAACTACTTATGTCCTCAATCACCATGGGAAATGTCTGTGATGTGATGATAGCATTTAAAAATCCTATTCATGGGGCTTTCCCATGAACAGGGCGGCTTCAGGTTCAGTTTCAAACAATCTGCTGTATTCTTTCAGGAACCCGACACCCAAGTGGAAGAAATCTAAATTCAACTCAGTTTCTAAATAAAAAAAACAAGCATGCATTAAACCTAAAGTTGTTAAATGTGCAGGTTTGGTTTAGAGTTTAGAGTTCACAGGAGTGTGTTTGCTCTGCTTACTGGAAGGAGGGCGGTCTGGAGTCCCCAATGCCACCAGTCCTCTCAGCAGGTGGGGGGGGCAAAGGTGGAGGAGGTGGTGAAGGCTGGGTGGGTGTTTCCACTGGGGGGACCACAGCCACTGGGGGCTCAACAGCTGGAGTGTCTGAAGATACCAACTAAAAAAAAAAGGAATAAAAGAAACAGATTTATGAAAAACTGAGAGGAAAAACTTTAAAGCCAAGTGAGAAACAGGCCAGATACCAAAGGGAGAGTGAAAAAAAGGAAAGAGTGGAGAGTAACTGGCACAGAAAGTGGTACAAATTGAGAGAGGGCAGACAGGCGAGAGGTTGACAAAAAAAAGAGGAATAAAAGGAGGAGTAGGAAGGGAAAATGGGTAGCATGTCAATTACGCCGACACACAAACACTGTACTGTTTTCAAATGGACGTCCCAAGGGCAAAGTGAAACACTATCCTACACTTAACCTGTCTCCTTTCATTACGCAACTCCACACACAGCCAGAGCAACAGGGAGGACCAATGCCACATGAACATGAAACATGCATTTACATAAAATGCAAAAAAAAAAGCACAGCATGGTCCAACGGGACAATTAAACCACACCGTCTAAACTCTCCAAATATTTAAATGTAGACAACATCAAATCTCTGCACAAAGCTTTTCAAATCACGCTCCACAGTATAGAAAACATATGACATATTTTGGGGGTTATGAGTGTTCAGAGCTCAGAGAAAACTAGAGTTTGCATATCAAAATAATCCACCCACATGGAGACAATTGAGAGGTGTGGACAAACGCTCTTTAGCGGGTCACTAATGGCTGTGGGACTGTGAAAAGCCATCTTCTGGGATCCTTCCATCATTCTGGGAGTGCAGATCGCATGTCGGTCCCACTTGTGTCTGAGCTTTGTTCTCCTTCCCCTTTAAGGCCTTTCCCTCCCCAATCTGATGCACTTCGCAGATGCTTTGGACTCAGACCTGATTATCTGGGCCAAGCCACACTGTTTTGTCTCTATTCAAACGCAACCTGCAGGGCGGAGCGTAACCCCCGGGTCCCCCACTGGAGAAATGGAAAGTCCTGAAACTGTACCTGGCAGCTCACTGTACTGTAACCGTGAACAAGCTGCTCAGCTGATGATGCATTGAACGACGACGACATGATTTGTTTGACTAAAGGGAAGCTTTATAGCTCCACAAGTTCCATAACAAAACAAAAAAAAATTCACATGTGCGATTCATTAGGATGACTGTGTCACACGTCTACAAACTTAACGGGTTTCTCAGATCTTACAGGCCAAACATGGGCCTTTCTTTTGTTTAAATCCACAGTTCGGGACTGGCCTGATGCCGGATGTACACTAACGCTCAGTCCAGCTCATGTCTCGCTTTGCACAGCAGGCTGCACGGCCTTGATGTGGGCAGGATTGGCCGTACATCATCTCAGCGTGTACCAAAACACGCAGGAGACTTCTCCATGTGAGGGCTTTAGCAGATGTTTGCAGCTAATAAGTAACAATCGAGACGAACGGCATTGACTGAGCTTGTTTCTATGGACTGAGGCACAAGCAGCGGGGGGTGGAATTTTTGTAAAAAGCCATGCGGGACAGCATGCTGATGAACTACGACCCCAGTGTGAAAGCACAACTGGACAGACGCTTTGTGTCAGAACTACAGTGATAAACCAAAAAAGATGAATGCAATTAATAATGAGATTAACCTCCAACTAACGGAACGTATTGGCTTCAGAGACTCGGCCTGTTTGAAAAGTCTTCTTCTCACACATCTGCTGAGTCCGTTTCCTCCTGTTTAACCTGGCTCAGCATTTAGTCTGGGTCCAGCTTTAGGAGATTATTTTTCTAACAAAACACTCAGCCAAGAACAAGCCTCAAAGAGATCTGTAGTGTCTCTTTTGTGTTGCTTTCAAAGACACTTCAGTCTGACTGTAATTATTATTTTGATAAAGCGGCTCCTGAAAAAGTCCTCTGTTTTGAAGAAAATTAAGTCTGGACATTTTTCAAATGACAAATCTATACTAGGCCACTTAAACATCCTGCTGCTGACGTTATGATTAAAGATGCTGAAAAGAGAGGATTTGTGTTTTCTTACCCACGACACCACTCTGCCATTAAAACAAGGCAACTTGGCGCCCTCATCAGAAATCTCTTCCTTCACGACCCTGAAAAACAGAAAACAGAGTGAGGCTCCGTGTGAATAAACTACTGTGTTTTCACAACATCTGGGCTCTCAAATTCCTCATCTGCACAGCGCCGCAGAGCAGAGGAGCGGAAGAATACGGAGTCCTGATTTAGACTTGTGGGGAGAACGGTGAAAGCATGGCAGCAGCGGACTTCATCTTCATATTTTCTGAACAAAAAGTTACTCTGTGACGACATCTTGGCGGAAATAAATCAAATGTCAGGCACAAGTTGATCTATTGTCATCTGAACGTTGGGCAGAAGTGACATGAAATGAATATTTGCCAGGAAACGTGCAGGAAGGCCTGGAAATCAAGTATATTCACTATAAAAAGTCATCAGAGAAACAGTTATGACACAAAACTCAACAAATCAAAGTATTACTAATACCATCATCTACTGATTTACAACGTTTCCCATATTAGATAATGATATTTACCACTTTAACCATGTTAACTTTATTTCTATGCATCTCCAGGGCTGCATTTTGTGGAATCAACCTATTTAAAGGTTTCATTTTTAAGCACATATTAACTTTTTAAACACAAGACAAACTAAATGGGAACAGAGATCATTCATCTCTTGACAAACTGACGTCAATGGGTGAGATGCAGAAACATTTACACACCCGTTGTCCCAGTGAAGCACAGTTTAGCTCAAAAACAACAGCACAGAGGCTTGATCTCAAAATACTTCACCGATTTCTAAAGACTGAAAAAGCCTTTGGGATGAGACATTAAACATCTTCAAGACAACTGAGAATCCCCGCCAACACGTTGGTTTATCAGGTTAACAAAAAGCAAATAGAGAAAGTAAACTTTCCTTCGGAGATGCTCCAAGTGTGCCATTAAACCTAAGGGAGAACCTTTATTCAATTAACTTTAATCAACAATTAATATATTTATTGAATCCTAGTTAAATAACTGCTTCCTCTCTTGATTGCTATAGGTGTCGTGCTGTTGCCACATCAAGAAAATCCAACCTCCTTTAGGTGATCACAGCAGAGAGCACAATGGAGTTCTTAATCCCTCAAACAATGAGTAAAAAAAAAAAAAAAAAAGCTACTTATAAATGACTTAACCTCATCAGTTTAACAAGCATGCAAATCCGATGTACTTAACATCAGCCTTCACATAAGCAGCGCACAGCTTAAAGCTCTTTTGGAGAACCGTTCCCCTGGAGGCTCCTTCCTCCTCTGGACTGGAGGAAACTTTTTGTGCCCCGATCAGACCCCTGCTGCTTCGATACAGCTCTTCTCAGAGACACACGGCTCTTCCAAATATTCGGAAGGCTAGCTTTTCCAGCTCCCTCGGCCAAAGCGGGGCTCCTTTTGTGTGTGAAACTTGGTCGGGCTCCAGCGGGCTTTTGTAAGCAGCTGTTGAGTGCTGGTTTTGTGGGTGAGTGTTAGCGCCGGGCCAAACTGTTGCGGGCGCTAGGCGGGGGTGTGCGGCCGGGCGCCTCGGCTTCGGGGAGACGCGTTCGTACGGCCGCCGCGCTTCCCTCCGCTCGATGCGTTTGACATTTCTCTCCCTCTCACGCTCTGACCAATGGCATCCAGACAACAGATGCAACGGGGGGGCTACAGAGAGCGCCGCTGGCTCCGCTCCTCTCCCCTCCAAACAAACAAGAGTTGGATCCATTCGCACACACTCTAAAATGCTTCGAACGACGCACAAATAACCCTTAAATGAGCAGAGTCCTGTTACAGTCACTAAAACCTTAAGCCCCTCCGCCCCTTTTCCATTGTTCCACTCCCCTGGCACCATTAAATTCCTCACAGTTGGGGCAGCATCAGTTTTCTGATAATTAATCTTGCTGAAACAGCTCCCTGATCCTCTCTGAGAGCACAGGCAGGCCGTAGTAACTTTAGCCGAACGCCACACAGCTCTCTCGGCCCTTTTCTTCTCCCTGCAGACAACCCCAGACGCTCAGCAAATGGTCTCCCTTCGGCCCCACGTTTCCAGCCCCGGCCCCGGCCCGCTCTGCTGTGCAGATCTCCCCCTCTGCCACACACGCAGCGCCGGCCGACAGCTGGCCTCGTACCAGGGCAAACACACACCGTTACACACACACCTCCTGGGCTGGACGGAAAAAAAAAAAACCCCTGCTTTGATTGGACAGCTGACTCTGAGCTATGTTTGAAATTTTTCATCTGAACTCAGTTGGAGACGCACAAATAAGTTTGGCATGCCAGGCAGCACAATTTCCCCAAAGGTGAAGCTACTTTGACGGTTTAGAGCCGGTGACTCACTCCGGATGATTACCTTCTTCCCTTTGGAAAAGCTCTAAAATGCAGAGATGCACCAGCTGGGATTTTCCAAAGCCAATCTTTAGTCTAATAACTGAGGCTGTAACATGTTACGTTTCTTTAAATAAAGACTTTCTCTGCCTGTTCAAAATGAAACATTTCTGTTAGATTTTGAGGGAACAGAGGTCCTGTGAACTGGAGAAACTTGAGAAATAAACAGTAAATCCTTTATAAAAACCAAATTATGTGTCTACAATTAAACCATCAATGTTAGATAAAGCATCAAAGCACACACTATAACACTAAAGTAAATCAAGATTTTTTTTGCTGCTGATGCCCTACTTTCTATTCCAAAGTGACTACAGTAGGATTTTACTGCATATGTCACTGAACACACAGTTGTTTTACTTCACGTGCAACAAGCTTCTGGAAACTACTTGGCTGAAACTAACCCAAACTTTCTACACCAACAGTTTAGTTGGCAGAACAGTTAAAAAGGAACTCTGCCTGTTTTCAAGTGCTGAAAACATGCTCCGCTTTACAGTAAAGTTCAAATTCAATCATCTGTTTAGCTCGCCGGCTAAGTGAGGAATATGAGACAAGCAGCATCTTTACTTTGGATTTACACCACACAGCTCCATTGTTTTGGCCTCTCAGCAGAGCACACGCACACGCAGAAATTGCTTCTCGCTTTTTGCCGGCACACATGTCGCCTAAAAGAGAAACACGGGCATCAAGAAAGAAAGATTTTTGCAGGTGTGAGTCGTGTCTTCTTACACTAACATGAGAACTATCAAGTTTTACTCTTTCAACACAGTAAAACCATGTTTATATAAATAAGAAGAGGGTGGTCGTCACTGGATCCGAGCGAGGCATCGCACATGAAGAGGCTGATAAGTCATTTAAACTGTTTTAGACTCCTTCCACTCAGCCGGTTTGGAGATTAGCCAGGGTGCAGATCAACATGTTTTCAGGTCAAGGGGAGTGGACCTGACTGACCAAACGACTAAACGCAACTTGATTAAACTATGAAATCATTCCAGGGCTCAAAAAAGGAGACAGCTGGACTTAACTGGGCTCTGGGTTTAAGTGCAGCTTGACAACTGTGCCTGTGTGTCATCAAGTGGTGGACGAACCTTCACAGAAAGTTTCCTTACACTTCCTGTCAACGGCCTACAGATATTACACCTTTTTAAATTCATTTCACACCTTAAGGCTCAACTTTATTTATCCCTTTAGGCACGCTATGCTAATGTCCGAGTGTGCGTGTTGCTCAACCACAATGAGGACGGTGTGTTCACATGACCAAAAAAAGGAGTTCTGACAGCCTTCTCCATCGTCCACTAATAAGCCGGCCAAGCGGAAAATTTGACCAATTCAAGCCACCTGGAGGAGCTGAGCAATTTATGCATCCTTCGTTAAATCAAATTAAATTTTCTGGTCATTCTGACAGTTACATTATGTCACTGCATTGTGGGCCAACACAGTCCACTAAAACAACAGCCATTTCAGAACTAAAAGAGATTAATGGAATTAAACTTTCTATCCTCGGTTCATATATTTTAAAGGCTTTCCATCAGTTGTCCAAAGTTTACAAAAGCATTACGCAGACAGGCTACAGAGTTTGTCTGGTGGCCATAATTGAAGCCTTATTACTCAGGCAAACATACACCATAACAACACTTAATTGAAGCATATCACAAAGCAAAGAGTTCATTTCTGGCTAGTGGATATATTTAAGAAGTCGTGGAAAAGAAAAGTGATCGCTGACTGATGTGGTTTGTTAGTTTTAGACTAATTTTCCTGTTCGATACCTTCCAAACAAATTAGATAAAGAGCTCCAAAAGTACTATTCCTGTGTAGTAACATTCAGCATGTTCACTTTCTTTTTTTTTTTAATGTCCCTTTGATATTTAAACATGATATCTGACTTTAAATCCCTCCACAGATTAAGTTTGAACCAGCAGAACTGGAACACTTTTCTGGAAAGAACCTTTGAATTCCCAGCGAATATTTCAGAGTAAGATAAAAGCTACGGGAGTCCCACAGCAGGAACACATCTGAGAAACCTCTGGATCCAGGTCCAAGCTCCTGCCATGGATGTTTTTGATGGACTGGATTATGCAAATATACCAGACGCAATAATGGGGTGTTATGTACACATTAATTACTGATCAGACATTGTAGCTGGGGATATCAACAAAACATATAAACAAAAAAAGACCATAATCCGACTAGCGTGGCATTCAGATAAAAATCAGCTGCTGGAAAATTCCAATTGGCTAGAAAAAGACACAGAGTGGTTCCTAGAAAGCTAGTACAGGCTTATTACCTATACCTATATTTTATTCCATAAAAAAAAAATCAATCATTCTTTCTTTCTTAAAAGAAAATCTCAACAAATTTCTAACCTATAACGGTTAATATTGAAGTGTTCTGCATGCTGGGAGGCAGAGAAGAAGCAGCCGTAAAAGGGAATCTCATCCTTTCAGTGTGAATTTGGACTTGACTCTGAACAGGCCCGGATGGTGCCATCGAACAAGAAAAAAAGGGAAGAGAAGGGAGGGAGCCCAGCTTTAACACCAATCTGGAACTACAATGCATTTAACAGAAAGCCTAAAGGGTCTCACGGGGTGAATAAACCACAAAAATGCATTCCTCTGCAGGAAAGTGCAGAGCGGCCACATAGAAAGGAAAAAGATTAATTGATAGAGGAGAGACAGCTCTTTCTGGAGGAGAAGGGGGGGGAGAAAAGACGAGGAAGCCAGGGAATGAAAGGATGGCTGGCAGGCCGAAGTGTTAAAGAGGGAGGGGGACAAAACCCTAGCTCCAATCCCCAAAGAAAGAAAAGGCGAGGATTTCACCAGATGATGGACTGAATGAGGGACGGATGAGGATTAGGGGGCAAAGGAAATCACCAGGCATATGCAATGCCCCCCATTGTAAGGAAGTTTTCTGATGAATGCCCCAGCCTACATGACCCCAGTATTTATAGAAACCACTTAGAAAATTAATCAGCAGGTATCATATGTGTTGGCTGATAGGCGACATGTCCTGTTGAACAGACCACAACTGGTTAAAAAATTAAAGATTTTTTACAACTAAACATTGATTTTAAAAAGCTTTAACTTAAAAAAAATGCATGGGAATTTTCTGCATTTCACGTTGAGCTACAGCTCTTGGACTCATACAAAAGACAGATTAAAAGCAAAGTTTTCAATTTTGCCACTCCATTTGTATCACATGAGGCATTTGCTCTCACTGTCTTCGCTTTCAGCTTTAAATGCTCCTTATTTCTCGTGCGAAACACCCATTTCTTCCATGCTAAAGTAAAAAAAAAAAAAAGCTCCCAGCTGCTCACCCAAAGTCTTGGTCCATAGACTTGAAGAAGAATTTGTAGTTCGGCTTGTTCAACACTTGTTTAAAATCCAGCAAAGTGATGTTTTCGGCAGCTATGGGTATCTTCACCAAGTACGGCGTCTCCTCTTCGTCGATATGATAAATTATTTTGGTTTCCGCCATCTCTGCGTTTGCTTTTTTATCCCCACAACCTGGAAGTTTTTCGAGAGGAGCCGCACCGTGAGGCGAGGTAGCCCTAACTTTGTTGCGGAGTTAGCTAGCAGCGGAGCTAGCTAGGTGGCTAACGAGGTGAAACGATGATGGCCACTGAGATTTTTTTTCCCAGCCGGAGCCAAACCGCCCAAAGCCCCAAAAAACAAAAACCCCCGCTGGCGAGCTCGCTTTCACCCTCTTCGCAAACGCAACCGAGTCACATTCCCTCCGCTACCGAGGGCGAAAACCGACGGACACGCCACATTCACACGACCCGACTCCCGACAACTTTTCCCCCAACAAAAACATACAGGGGAGGGGGGGGGGGGGGGGGTCTGAAAACTTTTCACCACTCTTGCGAGCCAACGCGGCGTGTGACGTAGGACGTACCCCCCTTCTCCCTGCGTGCCTTCCCAGCCAGGCCCCCCACGGCCCGGGCCATCTATCTATCTATCTATCTATCTATCTATCTATCTATCTAT